GGTCCAGGATGTCCATATAACTTATTGCCCGAAACAGCACATTTTTTAAATTTTTTGTTTTGTTTATTGTTGTAGTTTAAGTGGAAGGTTACATTTCAAGTTAGTTTTTCATACAAAAATGTATACATTGTTCTGTGACCCTAGTTGCTCTCCCTATACTGTGACAGCACACTCCTCCTTTCCACCTCTGATTTCCCATGTCCATTCAACCAGCTCCTAACCCTCTCTGCCTTCTCATCTCACCTCCAGACAGAAGCTGCCCATTTAGTCTCATGTATCAACTTGAGCTAAGAAGCACACTCTTCGTATCATTTTATGTCCCACAGTCCAGTCCAATCTTTGTCTGAAGAGCTGGCCTTGGAAATTGTTTTAGTTCTGGGTTGACAGAGAGTCCAGGGAACATGCTTTCTGGGGTTCCTCCAGTCTCAGTCAGACCATTAAGTCTGGTCTTTTTACTAGAATTTGAGTTCTGCACCCCACCTTTCTCCTGCTCCATCAGGGACTCCCTGTTGTGTTCCCTGTAAGGTTGGTCATTGGTGGTAGCTAGGCACCATCTAGTTCTTCTGGTCTCAGGCTGATGGAGTCTCTGGTTTATGTGGCCCTTTCTGTCTCTTGGGCTAATACTTTCCTTGTGTCTTTGGTGTTCTTCATTCTCCTCTACTCCAGGTGGTTGGGACCAATTGATGCATCTTAGATGGCCGCTTGCTAGCTTTTAAGACCCCAGATGCCACTCACCAAAGTAGGATGCAGAACATTTTCTTAATAAACTTTGTCATGTCAATTGACCTAGATGTCCCCTGAAAGCATGGTCCCCAGACCCCCGCCCCTGCTACTCTGTCCCTCAAAGTGTTTGATTGTATTCAGACAACTTAACTTTGGTTTAGTCCAGTTGTGACTTCCCCTGTAGTGTGTGCTTGTCCTTCCCTTCACCTAATTCTTGTCTACCATCTAGTTACTAAATCACCCTCATCCTCCCTCCCCACCCTTGTAACCATCAAAGAATGTTTTCTTCTGTTTAAACTTTTTCTTAAGTTCTTCTAATAGTGGTCTTACACAGTATTTGTCCTTCTGTGACTGACTAAATTCAGTCAGCGTAATGCCCTCCGAATTCCTCCATGTTTAAGATGTTTCATGGCTTCATCGCTGTTCTTTATCGTTGCGTAGTATTCCATTGTGTAAATATACCAAAATTTGTTTACCCATTCGTCTGTTGATGGGCCCCTGTTGTTTCCATCTGTTTGCTATTGTGAACAGTGCTGCAATGAACATGGGTGTGCATATATCTATTCATGTGATGGCTCTTATTTCTCTAGGCTATATTCCAAGGAGCAGGATTGCTGGATCATATGGTACTTCTATTTCTAGCTTTTTAAGGAAGTGCCAAATCAATTTCCAAAGTGGTTGTACCATTTTACATTTCCACCAACAGTGTATGTGTTCCAGTCTCTCCACAACCTCTCCAGCATTTATTATTTTATGTTTTTTGGATTAATGCTAGCCTTGTTGGGGTGAGATAGTATCTCATTGTAGTTTTGATTTGCATTCCTCTAATGAACAGCGCACTTTTGAGAAAGGAGGCAGTATTAATTATGCCCGGACAACAGGCAGAAACTAAGACTGTCTCAGGAATGCAGGACATGTGGTCACCCTATGTAGAAGATTAAACGTCCCACCTGAAATGGAAGCTCTGTGGGGGCAAGAACTGCTGCACCTATGGTGCCTACAGAGAGCTGGGATATTTCTGGAGGACTCACATCTACTTGGAGCAATCCTCACAACAAACCTGTGAAGTGGTAATACATTTATTACCTATGACGAGCCAGTTACCATCCTCAGTATTTTACATGCATCTCATTTAATTCTCACAACATCTCTATGAGGTAGGTAGGCTTATTATCTTCCATCTGAGGAAACTAAAGCTTAAAGGTTAAATAACTCCTTCAAAGCCATACATTTGGGTGGAGCAGCAGGGATTTAAACCCAATCAGATTGACGAGAATCCGTTCTTAATTAGCATTCATACCATTGCCTCCGTTTTTATTGACACCCCCCACACACAAACAAAGCTGCATGGGATCGGGCACCATGACATCAGAGGTTGCCCAGCCTTTGCTGGGACATCTGCGGCCTCCGCCTCCACACAGCAAGCACGAGTCTGACAGCAGGCGGCAAGCTTGCCCTCCTCGGAAGCTACCACTGGGCGGTGTGCTTACTTGGAGCCCAGAGGGAGGTGGAGCTACCATCCTGAGTCACCTGCTGGCTTGGGCACCTAGCAACTGCCAGTCTGCTGCTGGGCTAACCCTTATGGCTGTCTTAAGGACTCTGTTTAGAACTTCCCAACTAGGCCAAAGCCCTCTTTATTATGTGTCCCCCATGGCTGATTTAAGTTTTTTCTACCCAAGAGCACTTATAACTTGTGCAGCCTCACTACAGGAGAAAAGTCCGATGCGCGTGAAGCCTGAACCGAAATGGCTGGAAAATCATCCAGGGGACCTACAGGGCAAAGGCCTAGAGAAGGAAAGCAATCTGCCGGAAGTCGCGGAGCAAGTCCCCGGTACGTCCAGAGCTACATCACCAGGACTCCGCCTCCGGGTCGGCGGCTGAGTCCGAGCCCCCAACAGGTTCCGCAGCAGCCCCAAGCCCCCTGGTGCGCACACTCAGTCCAAGCTTGCCGGCGGACCGCCCACCCAGGTCCTCAGTCCCCTCCGGTGTGCAGGCGGGGGAAACTGAGGCGGGGTGCGTGCTCCTTCCTTCCTCAGTCCACACCCCAGGGCACTCAAAGGTGTTTCCCCACTTCTCAGACCCGCAGGGAGCAGCGGAGAATGGGGGGAAAGGAAGGGGGCCGACAGCAAGCAGGGACTGAGGAGCCTGCCGAGCCTGCCACACTCAAGATGGCGGAGCGGCCGCGACGAAGTCCCTCAGAGGCGGAACCAGCGCATGCGCAGCGCGGAGTCCCGGGCCGGGACACAAAATGGCGGCAGCGGCGCTGGGGAGGGCGAGGCGGAGGCGGCAAAACAGGCGGTCGAGCAGAACGTGTAGCCGCGTCCCCTCGAGTCCGCTCCGGGCAGGTAAGGGTCCCAGGAAGCAATGGTCCTGCCGCGAGCCGCGCCGGAGTCCGGCGATCCGATGCCGGGAGGCAGCGGCCCCTCCGGCGCTTTCCGCTCGGGGCTGTCGCTTGCCCCGTCTCCGTCGCCGCCGCCATCTTAGGCCTGCGGGTGGGCGGCCGGGCCGGTGGCCGGGGTGAGGAAGGTGGGCCTGGAGAGCGCAGGCGGAGCGGCCTCTAGGGCCCCTCCGCTACTGCCGCCGCCACCGCCTTTGTGTCGGGCTCCGACTCTGAGTCGCCTCAGCCCGGGGGCGGGAGCGCGCGGCGGGGCGGGGGGCGGAGCCCGGGAGATGGGCCGGCGCGCGCGCGCCAAACAACCCGTCCCGCTGAGGTTGGGGGGAGGGGAAGGTGCACGCGCACTGTGGCTTGCCCCGCCCCTCTTTCGCGCTCACCCGCGCCTGCGCACTTGCTAGCCCTTTGACTCCTCCCTGCGGCCTGAAGGATGCTGATTGGTGCATTCATGAGATTCTCCCGCCCTATCGTCCTCCAATCCCGGAACTGGACTTTCTTCTTTCTGGTGGGTTCTTGGGGTTGCGCAGATACAGTTTATCTTTAAACTGCTTTGCACATGTCAGAGTGCGGTATGCGTGGGGGTTGGGAAGCCACAGAATGAATAAAAACGTTATTTTAAGAGATAGCTGTTACTGAGAATGTTCAATATGCTAGACTCTACGCATAGAGACCAAGGCGGTCGAATGCGGTTTATAAGCCGGAAAGCGGCAGCAGAGTCTGGAACCCGAGTCTGCCCAGCCCGAGAGCTGGTACTTCGGCCACAGACCTGCTGCACTCAAATCACCTGGGGAATTTAAAAAAAAAAATTTTTTTTTTTAATGGTAAAATCTTCAAACGGTGTAAAGTGACAAAATAAGCCATACTGTTTCGCAGTCCTACTCTTGGGGTGCGTTTAAAAAATACAAGTTCTTAAATACCTCCTCTCCCCATTTAGTCCTAAGATTTGGATTCCTAAGTTCTGGAATCAACTTTCTGACAAGCCCCAGGCTATTGTGATGCACAGCCAGTGTTGGAAACCGCAGTGTCCCCATTTGGCCTCACGCTAGATGTGCTGCTAGTGCCTCGTCTGCACAGTTCATCTACATCCTGGTGCATCAGTATCACGGAATATTTCTTGGGGGAAAATATTTTTAAATAAAGATGAACAAGATGTGTTATATAATGTATTCGCACGTATTTTTTATTAAAAGACATGATTTAATTAAGTGTGCCTTTCACTTGCTGTGGGTAGCTTGGGACTGTGTCCCCATGTCTGTGATATGTATGTTTTTGTCTGGTCTTAGGGATTCTCTAAGGAGACCTGGTGGCACAACAGCTAAGCGCTTGGCTGTTAACCAAAAGGTCAGCGGTTCGAACGCACCCACAGGCTCCATGGGAGAAAGACCTGGCAATCTGCTCTGGTAAAGATTACAGCCAAGAGAACCCTATGGGGCAGTTCTAGTCTGTCACATGGGGTCACTGTGCGTCAAAATCGACTCCACTGCACACAACAGCAGGGGTGCTTTGGTTGGCTGGACTGGGCACAAAATTTGAAGGTCCTGATGCACGATGAAAACGGGCTCTTTGTTAAAAAATTATTAAGAATTTCAAAATGGTGACAGCAGAGAGTTAAGTACACGGCCTTTCTGAATACGGGCCCCGTGAGACTGCGCATACCTAGGAATCCCTGTTGGTCCGAAAGCTTGAAAAGTACCATTTGCATCCCCTGGATCACCAGATGCCCCCACAGTGTGTCCTGCCCTGTCCTGGGGGCTCCCAACTTGCTCTGTGCCCTTGTCCCTCTTGCTGTTGTCCCTGTCCTGTGCCATTTCACAGGTCTGTGACTCTCTCCTTCTGTTTACTCTCCAGCTGCTGACGCAAGGAGTCCCCTGGGTCCCCGTCCACTCCACTGCTGACCAGCCCAGTCACCTGTGCTGAGCCTTCCTGCAGGCCTCCTTTCTGCCTCTGTGGGACCCTGTGACGGGGGGTCCATCCGGCCAGAGAAGAAAACCCTCTCATGCTAGTACTGCAGACCCCAGAGGGTGAGAGAGAGGGGGACCTCGTTCAGCCTTGAAACCTGTGGGCTCAGCCCGCAAGGCACCGGGATTCCCTTCTCCCCAGAGAACCAGGGCAGCTACAGCCTTTTCTCCCCTTGGCCAGGGATTCCAGACCTTTCTGTTACCAAGGCCCCCTTTTGTTGTATATGTGTCCTGTTGCCTCCTGCATTTTTATCTGCCAGACTGTACCAATGAAGTAACCATTTTTCCCGTACCAAATTAACAATTAACGTTTATAACTGAGTGTAAAATAAAAATCAGTGTTCTAATGATTCCTACGATGTTGTCAACAGCCTATCAGAGCTTCTGATCAGCAAGAGAGAATGTGACCACACTGAGTTGATAAAAGTTTCAGCAAGCAAAGATAATTGATGTTTAAACTTGCCTTTGTGGTCTTTTTGTGGGTAAATTGTTGATTTCTTTTGGGTGTTGTGACATATTCAAAACAGCTTTAGTGTCACCAGTCCCATCTCATTTGGCCTCCCAGGAGCCCAGCTCCCCCAGGCTGGGAAGCACGTTGACGTTGAGGCTTGTGCCGGGTGTGCTGGGGTGGGGGTGGCAGGGAATACAAATCGGAAGGAGCTGACCTCCTTGCTGGTACTTCAAATAAATTTTCACCTGGGGATTATGAAGGATTAAATTAGATATTCCTTCTCAGTCCCACTGGTTCTGTTAGTAACAGATTGCTTCCTGCCCTCTAGTGTATAATGGGGTACCTGGTTAGAGTCCATGCCCCTTCCCCAGCTGTGCTTTGTTCCAGTTGCATTTTACTGCACAGCAGCAGGGAAGGGGATGAGTGGACTGTTCCGCTTGTAGGAATAGCGTCTCAAGGCCAAGCCCTGTTCTGTCTTGTTTGCCACCCTTGGTGCTTTGTAAATGGTTGCAGAATAAATTCAGCTCCTGTTGGAGCCAGTTACCGTGCCCAGCACTGGAGAGAGACCTATATTGCACCCAATTCCTAGTCTTGGGAGTTCTGATAGTGTACAGTCTACTGGGGGGACACACCCAGTTGACAGACCAGATCACGTGAGTGCTAAGATAGAGGTGCTTATGGCCCTGAGGAAAGGCTGAGACCACTTAGTATGGTGAATAGGGAAGGCTTCTTGGGGGAGATGAACCTGGTGACAAGCCAAGCAGAGAACTGGGGGAAGAATATTCCAGGCAGGAGTGAACTAATTCTATCGATGAGGGAACTGCAACCTAGACCCCAGGGCTCCTTCTGTGGCACCATGTTGGCTCTCCAGGACAGGACTGGATTTCTCCCTGTCTGTGGGTGGTCACGGGCTCTCAGTGGGTTGCGATTTCGTGGGTGGGGGTAGAGCTGACCTCCATGCCTTGCTGGCCCTGACACCCTTTGGTCCTCTGTGTGGCAGGTCCCTTGTGGGTGCTGAGATGGCCAATGAGAATCACGGCAGCCCCCGGGAGGAAGCGTCCCTGCTGAGTCACTCCCCAGGCACCTCCAATCAGAGCCAGCCCTGTTCTCCAAAGCCCATCCGCCTGGTGCAGGACCTCCCAGGTACTGGCAGGGGGCAGTGGTGAGGTGGCGGGGGAGCAAAGGCACCTGGGAGCAGTCCTGAGCATGGCTGGGCTCCGCGCTTGTTTGCAGAGGAGCTGGTGCACGCTGGCTGGGAGAAGTGCTGGAGCAGGAGGGAGAACCGTCCCTACTACTTCAACCGATTCACCAACCAGTCCCTGTGGGAGATGCCCGTGCTGGGCCAGCACGACGTAATTGTGAGTGCCAGCCTCAGGCGGGTCTCCGGGCAGCCTGGGGGCTTCCCCAAATGTGCCCTGAGCCGTTATTACACCCTCAGTCCTGGGCCACCCTGGGCCAGGACCTGGGGATACGACGACGAGCAAGACAGATACAGTTCTCGTCCTCATGGAACCTACACTCAAACGGGACTGACGAGTAAACACAGTTATAATAATAGTGATACTGAACTTCTGCTTCCTGGTGGGCACTGGGCCAGTGACACAATCGTGAGTTAGATGTGGTCCCTGCTCTTGGGGCTGGACAGGGACAGGCATTGATTGACCAACTTTACTGTAGGGTTACAACTGGGGCACTTACATGAAGAAAAGTGGGTGTGAGAGTCTCTCGGGAAGACTGGCCTGGGGCAGGGGTGGGGCAGGAAAAGCTGCTCTGAGGCTTAGTGGTGGGAAGGTCAGCAAGGGGAAGGTGGGAAGGGGAGAAGAGTGAACCAGGACTGAAATGGCAGTGTGATGGGGCAGTACAGGTACGGGCTGTCTCGGGGGAACGGGGGCTTTAGGTCCCTCAGTTGGGACAGACTTTCTTCACTGGGCACAATCAAGCCAGGTGGCATCCCAATTTTGCAGATGAAGAAACTGAGGCAAAGGAAGGGGAAATGACTGACCCAAGATCTCACTGAGTAAGACTTGTACCGTGATCTGACTTCAGGGCCACATGTATGAGTGTGAACGCATACTCTTGAGGTTACAAAAGGGCCATCCACAATCGAGAGTTTCTTGAATTTTTTCGTTTGTTCTGCTTCCTAAGGAAAAGGAATTAACACAGGCTGAGTGCCGATCCCACGCCAGATATGTTAAGCAAGTCATATTCACTGACTTATTTACTAGTTCTCTCAGTGGTGAGGCTGGGCTCAGTGTGGCCGTTTGGAAGGTGAGGAAAGAGGAAGGGAAGTGATTTGATGTCCATGGTCACACCGCTAGTGAGTAGCAGGCAGGAGTGGAGTCCAGGCCCCCTCTGCTCCTGTCCACAGAGCAGGGGTAGGGGGCGGGAGGGCAGCAGGAGTCCGCAGGACTGGGGCTCCCACACCACTGGCCCCAGTTGCAACTCTGCTGGTCTCCCTCCACCAGTCGGACCCTTTGGGGCTGAATGCAACCCCACTGCCCCAAGACTCGAGCTTGGTGGAAAATCCCCCAGCTGAGAACAAGGCCCGAAAGCGGCAGCTCTCGGAAGAACAGCCAAGCGGCAATGGTGTGAAGAAGCCCAAGGTGAGTGTCTACCCCTCCGGACCTGGCGGTGAGCAGTCAGCTCAGGCAGGCAGCCAGCAGTTCACCACCAGGACTGGGCAGCAGCATCCTGGTCAGGAGGGGGCCTAGCCCTGGTTCACCGGGTGCTGGAGCGTTGGAGCCTGTCGCTAAATTTCCCAGCCTGATGCCTTTGTAATTCTCTCGTTTCAGATTGAAATCCCTGCAACACCCATAAGCCAGTCAGTGCCGAGCTCCCCCAGTGTGCCAGGAACCCCAACGCTGAAGATTTGGGGTGCATCCCCTGAAGATAAACAGCAGGCAGCTCTCCTCCGACCCACTGAGTGAGGCTTGGGGCACCCGTTGCTGATGGCCAGGCTGTCTGGGACTGTGGGTCTGGTGATGGTCGGCCGGGCACTCCCCCAGCCCTTCACTACTTTCCTCATTGCTCCTATTTGTGTCCCAAGGGTGTACTGGGATCTGGACATCCAGACCAATGCTGTCATCAAGCACCGGGGGCCTTCAGAGGTGCTGCCCCCACACCCCGAGGTGGAACTGCTCCGCTCCCAGCTCATCCTAAAGCTCCGGCAGCACTACCGGGAGCTGTGCCAGCAGCGAGAGGGTAACTGCCTCCTGGGCCTCCACCTCCTTTCGTTCCGTCCATCGTTAGGAAGCGTGGGGGATTGGCCCGGTGGGCTTGGGGAGGGCGCACTGGAGCCCAGTGGTTCAAAGAGCATTCACTGTGGAGGGGACAGACCTACTGGAGTCCCAGCTCCACTAAGTGCTGGCTCTGTGATCTGGGATTCATCGCTGCACCTCAGTTTCCTCATCTGTAAAACAGAAAGAGTAACAGTGCCTACCTATGAGGGTGGCTGGGATCAGTAACAGCGAAAGTAATCATCAGCTCGTCCATAGTACTGTGTGGCAGGCACTGTTCAGAGCGCTCCTGCGTACTTGTAAAAAGCCTACACCTCACGGGGTTATTACGAGGAGTGAGTGAAATGGATAAGTGCTCAATAAGCTGCAGCTTTTATTACTTATAATTAGTAAGTAAACCTGCTTAACTTTGCTGAAACATAGCCCCCCCACCCCGGCCTGCCCCCGCCCCCCTTTTTTTTTTAACTGTATGTAACACTTCACACACCTAAACCAGTGATTCTCAGAATATACTTCAGAAAATGCTGCCTAGGATGTAAACTTCTGAAATGACGGGTCAGGTCTTACTGTTGTACTCCCAATGCCCTACACATGTGCCAGGCCTCAGGTGACACTCTCAATCCAGACCTTCGTCAGCTCTCCTATCCCACAGGCATTGAACCTCCCCGGGAATCTTTCAACCGCTGGATGCTGGAGCGCAAGGTGGTGGACAAAGGATCAGACCCCCTGTTGCCAAGCAACTGTGAACCAGTCGTGTCGCCTTCCATGTTTCGTGAAATCATGAATGACATTCCCATCAGGTACAGCCCCACAGCTGGGGAGGACCTGGGCCACCTGGTTCTTGTTAGAAGGGCTCTAACGCAGCCCGCTCTCTAACTCAGGTTATCCCGAATCAAGTTCCGGGAGGAAGCCAAACGCCTGCTCTTTAAGTATGCAGAGGCTGCCAGGCGGCTCATCGAGTCCAGGTTTGGCTCTCTCTCCTCCTGCCCCAAGCAAGATGGGTGTGTGGCTGGAGGGGGTGGGTTGGAGGCTACCTTGCCCACTCTCAGTCCAGGCTCTGTCATTGCTCTTGGTGACAGAAGTGGGGCCAGCTCCCAAAGGCAGAGTGCGAGGGCTACGGTGAAAGTCTGGAGGCTGACGGCCCTTTGCAGTGCCCTGCGGAAGTGGGATTGGGGGGACAGACACTCTTAACAGCTGGCCTTGTGCAGAGCTGAGCCACCTCTTGTGTCCCCCTCACCTGGCAGGAGTGCGTCCCCTGACAGCAGGAAGGTGGTCAAGTGGAACGTGGAAGACACCTTCAGCTGGCTGCGGAAGGACCACTCGGCCTCCAAGGAGGACTACATGGTGAGTGGGCCCTGTAGCAAGGCCAGCTTAAAGGTTCTGTGGCCACTTCCTCCAAGAAGCCCCCTGCCTGCCCAGCAGCTCATTCTTGTGCAACACAGCAGCCCTTGATGCTCAGCAGTCCCCAGACTCGTGAATGTGCACGTTTGCCCAGGTTCCTGGCCTTCTCCCAGAGTACATTTCCATTAATGGAATCCTGTGCTTGGCCACACACCACAAGTAGCTGCCTCTTCAGCTTAATGAATGTTCCACATCTCCCTTGAGAACATTTTTGGAAACATTGACAAACTACTATTTCTTGTGTGTCTGTGTTCACATCACAGTTAAGAGCTACCACCAAATTGATCCCTACTCTTAAGGTGTCCAGAATAATTGTTTTCTGGCCAAAACCCATCATTTCTTAAGCCTCTCCACTAGCACTAGCAATGGGCTTTCTTTTCAGGGCCATTTTTCACAAGAGACCAGGTTGGGCACTTCACGCTAGTAACTGTGCACTTGACACGTAGAGTGACCAAGGTAGGTGTGTGTGCTCACTAGCCAGAGGGACTCACCTCCACTCACCAGGCTCACGTGATTCAGCAAAATTAGAAATGCCTACAGTCATCCTTGCAAGGAGCTGAAAGCTCAAATTTCAAAGCTGCAGTGACCAAGGACCCTGTTTTATGTCTTGCTCCCCAACAGACTGCAAACACTTTATAAGTTGGGACTGTCCCCAGTTTGTGTTTCCCTAGCAGTTTATCATGGGATAGGGCAGAGTTTAATGCCCACAGTAACTACTGGCATTTATTAGACACTTACTGTATGCCAGGGGCTTGGTAAGCCCTTACAGGGAATGACCATATTTGATAGTCAAACCACCGTTAGGTAAGTATTTCATGTTCTCTTGACAGTAGGAGAATAAGGTTCAGAGGCCAAGGGATTTGTCCAAGGGACACAGCTTGTAAGTAGTAGAGCCAGGTTTCAGAACGGGGGCCTGCCCTTTCCCTGCTGGCCCAACAGAGACTGTCAGCCTCCTGTAGAGCCCTGATCAGTAGCGTCCCCTCCAGGACCGCCTGGAGCACCTGCGGAGGCAGTGCGGCCCTCATGTCTCAGCTGCGGCCAAGGACTCTGTGGAAGGCATCTGCAGCAAGATCTACCATATCTCCCTGGAGTACGTCAAACGGATCCGTGAGAAGCACCTTGCCATCCTCAAGGAAAACAACATCCCAGGTAGGGGGGGTGGGGACAGACAGGCAGTGGGGGGACTGACTGTGATGGCCTCCACTCTGTGCCCCTGGCTCTGATGGAAGGAAGAAGTAAGGCTGGGTCTCCAGGCCATGGGCAGGTTTGGGGAGTGCATTCCTCTCAGTGACATAAGAGGGGTACTTTGGTGTAGGGCGAGGGAGTTTCAGTTTGGCCCAAGGGAAGAGGGAGAGGTGATGAGGGAGGGAGGGCCAGAGTCAGTGGACTTGGGTTTCCCTCCATTCGCTTCACACTTCAAGCCTCAGTTCCCAGACTGAGGTGTCATGCCTGCCCTAGGGTTGTGTGAGGATTCCATGAAAAGTCAAAGGGTGTAGCCCCAAAGGATCCCTAAGGCAGGCACTGTAGCTGTTATGAAGGAAAGGCAGTTCTGGCACTCCTGCTAGGCAGCGGGACCCCCAGACCCGAGCATGCTTGCTCTCCAGATGGCAAACTGAGGCCTGTTCAGTACTCAGCATGCTAACGCAGGCCACCAGATCCTGCCCTGCCAACGTCCTGTTTTTTTTTTTTAAATTACTTTTGCTCCCTGTGTTATTGCACCTAAGCCACTGTTGACTCCTCTGTGGAATGGCATTCACCTCCCTTCGTTACTGGGAGGCTTTGGCGTGCATGTGGAGACCTGGCACACAATGGGCCCTGGGCCGTCTGGGGTGAGAATGAGCAAAGCTGGGCAGGGGCCGGGGCAGGCCAGCCCTCACTGCTCTCCCTGTCCACAGAGGAGGTGGAGGCCCCCGAGGTGGAGCCCCGCCTCGTGTACTGCTACCCAGTACGGCTGGCCGTGTCTGCACCCCCCATGCCCAGCGTGGAGATGCACATGGAGAACAACGTGGTCTGCATACGGTATAAGGGCGAGATGGTCAAGGTCAGCCGCAACTACTTCAGCAAGCTGGTAAGAGTTGGGCTAGGCAGGTCCCCACCGATGGGAGAAGCACCCTAGCTGAGGGGACAAGTTGGGACCCAGGGTCTTTCTTGACCTCAGCAGGAGGTCAGTGATGAGAGACTGGGGCTACTGCTGACACCCAGTGCTTTTTGTCCACAGTGGCTCCTTTATCGCTACAGCTGCATTGATGACTCTGCCTTTGAGAAGTTTCTGCCCCGGGTATGGTGTCTTCTCCGACGGTACCAGGTACAGGCCTAGGCGGTGGGGGGAGGACTCCCCTGGAAGAAGCTGGGAGGCCGAGCCAGATGGTGACTGTGCCGCTCTGCAGATGATGTTTGGCGTGGGCCTCTACGAGGGGACGGGCCTGCAGGGCTCACTGCCTGTGCACGTCTTTGAGGCCCTCCACCGGCTCTTCGGCGTCAGCTTTGAGTGCTTTGCCTCACCCCTCAACTGCTACTTTCGCCAGTACTGCTCTGCCTTCCCCGACACAGACGGCTACTTCGGCTCCCGCGGGTGAGAGCCAGGAGCTGCTGGCCCCGTTCTGCCCAGGCCTGGGAAGCTGTCCCCAGAGCACAGAGCCCACCTCGGCCAGCCGTGCAGGCTTGGGTGTAGCCCCTGCCTTCACCACACACAGCTTTTCTGGTGCTGTGGGTAGGCAGGTGGCATCCCCTAACCGGCCTTTGTGTCTCTCAGGGAATTAGTTCAGGTGTGGCATAGGAACGCCTAATCCAGGCACTGAGAGGAAGGAGAAGTGTAACAGACCTTGAAGACTTAGAAACTAGAGGTGGGGATGAGCACAGGGGTAAGGAGAGGATAATGCTGTCTCCAGCAGGAAGAAGTGGCCGCTGGGGACTGGGGTGGGAAGCCCAGCAGCTGGGGGATTCCTGGGCCCAGCGTTGTGTTTTGGGGGCAGTGGGGTCAGAGCTGGATTTGAACCCCCACACCTCCACCAGCTCGCTCATGGACTTGGGCATCAGAGCCTCTGAGCATCTGTCCTCACCCAGGGTGGGGCAGGAGAGAGATGCCCACTAAGGGTGGGTGACCAGGGCCACCTCGTCAATGTTCCGCATGGTGGCCTGTTTTGGCTAAGGGACTGGGGATGCTCACCTCTGTCCCCAGGCCCTGCCTGGACTTCTCCCCACTGAGTGGCTCCTTTGAGGCCAACCCGCCGTTCTGCGAGGAGCTCATGGACGCCACAGTCTCTCACTTTGAGGTGGGTGGACCACTGCTGCCAGGGGGCCGGCAGGCCAGATTGCCAGCTGCCGGGAGGGCAGCCCCTGACATCCACCCTGCGCCCCTCCCACAGAAACTGCTTGAGAGCTCCCTGGAGCCCTTGTCCTTCATCGTCTTCATCCCTGAGTGGCGGGAACCCCCAACACCGGCGCTCACCCGCATGGAGCAGAGCCGCTTCAAACGCCACCAGCTGGTCCTGCCTGCCTTCGAGCATGAGTACCGCAGCGGCTCCCAGCACATTTGCAAGAAGTGGGTGCCTAGGGAAGGCAGGGGTCAGAGGGATGGGCTGGCCCCCAGGCGAGCCCGCCCTGAGCGCTGCCTTTGCCCCCACAGGGAGGAAATGCACTACAAGGCGGTCCACAACACAGCCGTGCTCTTCCTGCAGAACGAGCCCGGCTTTGCCAAGTGGGGGCCAACACCCGAGCGGCTGCAGGAGCTGAGCGCAGCCTACCGGCAGTCGGGCCGCAGCCACAGCTCCAGCTCCTCTTCGTCGTCCTCCTTGGAGGCCAAGGACCGGGACTCGGGCCGCGAGCAGGGCCCTAGCCACGAGCCTCACCCCACTTAGCACACCATGCGGGGAGGAGGAGCCTGGGGTGCTGGTATGGACTGCTGGGACTCAGGCCTCTTGGGGCTGAGCGGACCCCAGGGCCCTCCCCCTGAGGTGGCAGCGGGACTCAGGCTGCCAACGACATAGGAAGATTATGGTTTTGCCAGGGCTCCCCTCCCTGCCCCGTCCCCCAACGCCACACCTCGAACTCACTCCAAATCCCTTGTAAATAGGCCCTGATGCCTTCCTCTCCCATGCCCCAGCCCTCCTGTCGCCACTTTGTTTCATTCATAAAAAGAAATACAGAAACCCTCCCAAGAATGTGTGAGGGTCTTGAGGGCAGAGAAGGCTGAGGAACCTGGAACGACTTCTGGGACCACACCCTTGACATCCAGGCTCCCCTTCTCCTGGCCCCTGGGCCTTCACATCAGCCCAGGATCCCAGTGTCTTCCGTCTCACCTGGCATCCCCACCCTTCTGAGGCTCAGCTGTGCCCACGGGCCTGCAGAGCCCAGAGCCCTTCGTCATCCAGCTCCAAGCCCCACGCTCCCATGCTGGGCCTGCACTGACACTCAGGAGAGAGACTTGCTGCCCTGGAGCCACCACAGTGAGTGGGCAGCCAGGCTCTGTGGGACTCTTGGCAGCTCAGCCATCTCCCGCTTTCAGGCCTCTGTTCCGAGGATCTGCCCAGCTGTTGGGCCCCTGGGCCCCTGTACTTACAGAGGCAGGGAAGCTGTACCATGCAGCCGGCAGCCTCCAGCCACTCCCACCCTCAGTGGGCTGTTATCAGGCTCCGCCTTCCTCTGCTTCCCAGGTCCTTGCCTGGCTCAGGCTGTAGCAGCAACTGGACAAAGTAAGCCGGCCAGGGCTGGACTCTGGTCCCTTTATTGAGACTGAAGGGCCAGAGGGTCCATCCAAACAAAAATAAAGTTCTCTCCCAAAGCCTGCCTGCAGGCTGGGGCACCCAGCAAGTCCTGGCTGGGGCCCGCAGCTGACCCCAGCCCTAGCAGCACAGGTCTGGCTCCCTCAGAGTATTGGGATGCTGGCTGCCCAGTATCTGGAGACCCCAGGTGGTGGGGTAGGGTGAGTCCTGGCCCCCCCACCCCCAGCATGATTGGCCCCAATATCCATGTTCTGCTTCGGGCCCTGGGGCTCAGTCATCAGTCAGGGTGATGACGTCGTACTCGATGCCCTGGTGCTGCAGTTGCTGAATGTGCTCCGGTACTGCCTCCTCCGAGGTGAACAGGCCCTGGGCTTGGGCCATGGCAGCATCAGCCACCGCTGCCAGGAGGGAGAGGGGGGTGAGCCTGAGGCCCAGGTGCTGGGCCCATGCCCTGGCTCCCATGGTCTGGCCCCGTACCTGTGACAGCCGAGTGTGCTGCAGCTTCAAGCTGCGCCTGTGTGACAACCTGCTGGCCCGGGGACACGGGCACATACTGGATCTGGAAGGGAGAAGCTGATGAGGTGTTGCCCAAGGGCCCTGCCTGTGCCTAGCCCCCGCCTCCCCAATCTCAAGGGCTCTACCTGGGACTCCTGAAGGAATGGGGTCCCTTGTTCGTACTGGATATGTGTGATCTGGCCCTCCTGTACCTGGGAAGAGAAGCCAACCCCATGGTCCCAGAAGGAGACTGTGCAGCCCTCCCCGCCACTCTCCATCCTGGCCCCAGGCCTGGCCTACCTGGATGTGATGTCCCTCGGGGACCACAACATACTCCTGGGGGAGCAGGTGCTGGACTCCATCCTGGGAGATGATGTACTGTACCTGAGAAGGGTGGAGAGGAGGCAGGTGGCTGGGCCCTCCTTGCTGGGAGCTAAGCTGGGAAGGCAGAGTGGGGATCAGGGACAGCCCACCCTCAGCAATGGGGGTTGTAAGTGAGGACCCTGGGAAGGGTGATGGTGGGGAGGGCGGGCAAGGCTGAGGTGGTCAGCAGCTGCGCACCTGGTTGTCAGAGGTCACCAGGTGCTGTACCGTCTGGCCATCTGCCGTAGTGATCTCCTGGATATAGGTGGCTTCCTCCTGCCAGGGCCAAGCCAACTCTAGCCTCAGCACTCTGTCCCCTACCCCTGCCCGGGGCCAGCCGGCAGGGCCCCCTCCCTGGCCTCTCACCTGGTTGGTCACTGTCTGCTCCTGAGCCACGATAATGTGGTCCTGGCCCAGTGCCTGCTGCAGTCGTTCTGGGCCCAGGACCCCGTGACTGGATTGGAGTGCCGCTGGGCAGAAAGGGAGGACGCTTACCCAGGGACCCAGGAACCCTGAGACGCCCCCTCCCCTGCACCATCAGAAGGGTGCCTTCTGGGCAGTGGCTCAAGCCCCTGGACCCCATCCCAGTACCCACCCTGTGGCCCCAGGGGCGGCTCACTGTGCAGTGTGGCCAGCGTCTCATCGCTGTTTAGGATGATGGTCTGGGTAGGGGTCCGGGCTGCGGCCCGGGCTGGAGGAGCCCCTGACTTCCTCCCATCAGGACTGTGAAGCCGCTGGATGTGGAACTTGAGGTGCCCGTTCCGGTTGAAGCTGAAGGGAGGGGAGGAGGCTCAGGACCGGCTCAGCCCCAGGGGCCCGGCAGCCCCTGCCTCGGTGCCCAGCCTCACCGCTGCCCGCAGAGGTGGCACTCGAAAGGCTTCTCGTTGGTGTGGGTCAGCATGTGCCGCCGCAGGTCCTTCTTGTTCTTGGAGGCGAAGCTGCACTGGCTGCACTGGTGGGGCCGCAGGCTCGAGTGCTGTGCCATGTGGGCCTGCGGGAGGGCAGAGGTGGGCTCTGGCTGGTGGGCGGGACAGCAGCAGCAAACCCCAGCTCCTCAGAGCTGTACAGGGAACCTGTCCCCGGGTGAAGTGGACCTGGGAAAGCCAGCACCCTGGGCACCAGCGGGGAGCTGGGGAGTTCACACCAGACCAGAATCTTTGGGGCTGCTTGGATGCTGAATGAAAAGCCCTAGGCTCTGTCATTAGGTCACTTGGACAATCCTGTCCCCGCTCTCAGACTGTCTACCCATGTGTAACCGACAGGTGCCAGATGAGAGAACCTCTGAAGGTACCCTCCAGCCTTGGCATTCTGAGGTTCAGGGCCCCGCCTGACTGCATCTCATCCTCTGGAAGGTGGGGCTGGAGGCTGCTCACCTGAGCTGCTGTGGGGATTCAGTGCATGGCTCGATCTGAAACCCAGGAATCTTTGGGCAAATGGAGAGCCCCTGGGACTCAGCCATAAACCTGCTCCAGAACCTGCCTCACTTGCCTTCTCACCACCCTTGAACTTGAACCTGCGCCCTCAGTACTGTAGACAAATCTCCCTAAGCACGCTGCCTGTCTCTACACCTCTGTGCCTTCGCTCCTGCAGGCCGAGCTCAACCACCACCTCTGTGACATCTCCCCACGCCTCATGACTTGTTCTCCGTTTGTGCTCTCTACCACATGCATTTTGTCCTCACTGGGGACGCTGTCTGGCATTAGTCCCCTTATGTCTCGTCTGTCTCCCGACCAGACTGGGAACTAACTCCCCGAGAGCTGGAACCTTGCTGAGGCATCTCTGTGACCCTAGCAGGGACAGAGGGCCTGGCTGGAGGGAGTGCTCAATAAAGGCTTGTTATACATATGAGCGGCTGAGTGAGCGACAGCTGGGGCACCACCTACCCGGACCTCGGGCCACTGGCGGGCACTGAAGGGGCAGTCAGGGCACTTGAAGGCGCTAGGCCCAGCATGGGCCCGTTTGTGACTCTCCATCTCAGCTCGGCCAGGAAAGGCCTCAGCACAGATCTTGCAGGAAAACTTCTTTGATGCTGCAGCAGCTGCAGACGGTGGGGAGGGGGGCACTACCAGGCCCAGGGCTTTGCTGGCTGCCGGAGACGGGGAGGCGGAGGCCTGGAGATCACCACTTTGGTGGGTCCTGGCCGGAGATGGGGGCTCAGGGCCGTCTCTGGACAGCCCCCCACACTGCAGCAGGGGCCACTTGGTGCCAGAGGCCAGGGCTTCGGGACTTGGGAAGGAGATGGAGCCATCGGCGGTCAGCTGTTGAGACACCAGGAGTGTGAGGAGCCGAGGCAGGGGGTGCAAGTGGGGCAGAGGCTTGCCACCCAGGGCCTCACCTCGATGTGATGCAGCTGGGTGCCGTCGGCTGCCATGATGTAGTGGGTGCTGGCTTCTTTCAGGGCCTCACTCACCACCACGGCCTGGGCAGCCTCCCCGGGGGGCTCCTCGCTGTGGACAGAGGGAGGGGTGAGGTGGGCTTCTGGGAGAGGATGGAGGGCCAAGGGGCCCCCTCCCCCAAGAAACAGTCATCAACCGAGGGCGACTGCCACCACAGAGGACGTGGGAGTCAGAAAGACCTGGTTTGCCTCCTGGCTCTGCCTTTTGCCCACTGACCCGCCACTGCCTCCTCTGTAAATGGTCACAAATGCCCAGCATATGATGTTGTTGGGTGCCATCCAGTCGATCACAGTGACTCCATGGGACAGAGTAGAACTGCCCCATAGAGTTTCCAAGGCTGTAATCTTTACAGAGCAGATCACCAGGTCTTTCTCCCTCGGAGTGGCTGGTGGATTTGAACAGCCAACCTTTCAGTTAGCAGTTGAGCATTTAACCACTGCATCACCGGACTCCTTACGGTCCTGCTCAGAAGATGGAAATCCCACCCCCTCAATGGGCATGGTCAGGGTGAGGCCAAGAGGTCCTGCCCAAGTCTGGCCAGGTGGGACAGGCAGCAGACAGTGGGCGGGGGAGGGGGAAGGAGCGCTGGTAGCTGTGGACCCGGTAGCTCTAGAAGGGGAGGAAGGGTAAGACGACCTGCAGGCCGAGAGGAGAGGGCAGGTACTGACCGACTGGCCCTTCTCCCAGCATCGGCCCAGGGCACAGACAGGGATCCTGACTCCCATCCCAGCTACACAACTGGGGACTTAGATTCTTCCTCAGACTGTGCCAGCGTTCAGTGAACATATAAGCATTTCGGCCCCAAACGAGCTCAGTGCAGAGGAAGCCAAGCGTGCGTGCAGGACCTCAAATACCAGGAAAGGAGCCTGAGCTCGCTCGGAACATCAGCACAGAAGAGCCCTCTGCGATCACCACAGAAAGAGCATGTGAGCTGTGGTGCCACTGCAGGGTGACCTCAGGCGAGTTACCCTGTCTGAGCCCGTGCTCTCACAGGCACAGTTTCAGGGAGATGATGAGTCCAGCACCAGGCACATACAAGTGGGCAAGAAACGGGAGCCCCTGACTTGCAGAGAATGCGGCTCCACCAGTGCCCAATCACTTGCTATATATTAGGGTTTTGCCTCCTGCTATCTAGGTCTGGTGGTGCAGTGGTTAAAGTGCTTGGCTGCTAACCAAAAGGTCAGTGGTTCGAACGCACCAGCTGCTCCACAGACAAAAGATGTGGCAGTCTGCTGTAAAGATTTACAGTCTTGGAAACTCCATGGGGCAGCTCTACTCTGTCACATGGAGTCACTATGAGGCAATCAACTTGACGGCGATAGGTTTGGTTTTGGGGTATCCAGGCTTAGATGGGCAGGGCCTTCATCTGACCCACCCCCACCCCAGCACGCTTATAAAAGACTGGAGGGAGTCTTGGAGACCAAAGGTCTCACCTGTAAGGTGTGCCAGGAGCTGACGTCCCCTCTTCCATGGGGGGTGCCGTGATGACACTGTAGCCAGCCCCGCCAAATGGCCCGGGCGCCAGGGTGATCTGCTGTAGGTCAGGGGGGCCTAGCTGGCTCTCGGCTGCCACGCTGCCCCCTGGCTCTGCCACATGGAGGGTTACCACCTGTGGAGCAGCCCCTGCTGGGGACGGCTGCCCACCAGAGGATGCTAACTCTGCTTCCGCATCTTCAGACTTCACCACAGCCACCTGCAATGGCACCAGCAGGCATTACGGGCAGGGCTGGAGGCGAAGATCCATAGCTGTCTCAGTGCCTCAAAGCTCACCCACACTCCGGCCAGACCCAGTGCCATCTCCACTCATTCTCACCAGCAACTGGAAGCAGACTCAACAAGAATAGAGCAGAGCGATTTTGCCCCTCAGGGGGCATTAGCAATATCTAGAGACATTTTTGGTTGTCACAATTCAGGTGGTGGTGGGGTGCTACTGGCATCTAGTGTGCAGAGGCCAGAGATGCTGCTACAATGCACAGGGCAGTCCCCTCCTCAAACAAAGAATTCTTTGGCCCCAAAAGGTAACAGTGTTAAGGTTAAGAAACCCTGAGGCAGATCCCTACCTCATACTCTATACGAAATGAACTCAAAATGGATCAACGACATATATATAAGAGCTAAAACAATAAAACTCTCAGAATAAAACATAATGATAAATCTTCAGGACCTTGTACTTGGCAACAGGTTCTTAGATACGACACCAAAAGCATGAGCAACAAAAGAAGAAAAAATAGACAGCCTGGACTTCATCAAAATTAAAAAAAAAAGTTTGTGCATCAAACGACATTATCAAGAAAGTGAAAAGACAGCTACAGAAAGGGAGAAAGTCTGTGGAAATCATATATGATAAGGGTTTAATATTCAGAATATATAAAGAACTCCAACAACATACAAAGGAACACTTACAATTTGTCCTTCTGTGTCTGACTTATTTCATGCAGCTTGTTTTTAAGGTTCATTCATGTCATAGCACATATCAGAACTTCATTTCATTTCTCATTACAGCAGAATAATATTCTATTGTTTAGATATACCATACTTTGTTTATCCTAAAATGGCAAATTTTAGGTTGTGTATATTTTACCACAATTAAAATAAAGAAACCCTGGGGCTGAGGGACAAGTGGCAAACCATTTAAGAAAAACGATAAAGTCAGAACTCTATCTCATATCTTACTCCAAGTCCACTTCAAATGTGTTAAAGACCGATATGTAACAAATGAAACATTAAACCTACAGCAAAACTGTAAAGCGAAGTTAAAACAAAACAAAACAAAGGAAATTACCAAAGATTAGACAGGCCCATAAGACAAAACAAGACTAAATGGGCACACCAGCCCAGGGGCAAGGATAAGAAGGCAGGAGGGGACAGGAAAGCTGGTAATGGGGAACCCAAGGTTGAGAAGGTTGACATGTTGTGGGGTTGGCAACCGGTATCACAAAACAATATGTGTATTAATTGTTTGATGAAAAACTAGTTTGTTCTGTAAACCTTCATCTAAAGTACAATTAAAAAGAAAAAGAAAATGACGGGGAAGTTCTGGATAAACTGCTTATTAGGAAATCAAGACGAGATGAACTGCTTTTTTGTTGTGGTGTGTTAATAACACAATTAAACCACGGAATGAAGTATGGGCTTCAGAAAAAGGAAGTAAATATGACTCTCCCTAATTAAAACTAATGAGATAAATTTCACTTGTGGTACCCACAATACACTGGCTAACGACTCCCTCGAAAGGCTCAGGAATTCAGTTCACTCTATTGCCTACATATTTGAAACAGTCTATCCCAAATTTAACTCAACTGTCTAAGCCTTTTCTACTTACCAAATATTCAGCAGATGAATAATATAAAAAATACAGCTCTAGATGTAATCAGGATGCCCAGAAACAAAAAACATATGGAAAAATGAGAATTTCCGGATTGTTCAATATATGGGCAAAGAGCAGTTTTCGATTTTTCCAAGTTAGTTTTTCTACAAGCAATCTTCTATAAGCAGGCAACTACTCAGGACCTGAGGTTGCCGTTAGTCCTTGGGCAGCAAATGGCCAGGGAATCCCTAAAGACCAGAAGTTCTCCTGGTGCTGGTGGAGCTCGTTGTACCACATCTGAAAAACCACTTCCCCTTTTATCATCTGCACAGCCCCCCAATGTTCTCACCCTCAGATGTTGCTTTGGCATCTGCTTCTAAGAGTGAAATGAACACTAAGAAAATGAAACCTCCCTGATGTGTTATTCTGGTCATTAAAAATGGAATAGCACAAGGAGAAAATAAATTGCAGAAATTCGTCAAAAGGAGTCCCTTAGTGGCCTTCAGCACTCACGGGGTTGGCTACTGAAATACGAAACGGCAAACGTGAAAGAGCTGGAAATGAACAGACCTGTGTCACAGGGCTAAGAGCAGAATCACAGCCTCCAGGTCTCCCCTTCCCGGTTCTAGCTGCGCTCCTGTTCCTGATCATTTTATGTTATGATAACTCCCTCATTATTAGCCAGTTTATGCACTTGATGTCCTCATCGTGTGATTATTTCTAACAGATTCATTCTCAAAACTCATCTGCCACATTCCTCGCCAAGCATTCTCTGGAGTCACTTTCCTCTTCACGAAATTATGCCAGTGTTTCCTTTCCCATCATCTATCACCTATTGTTTATGGCTATTGTGCAGATTGAATTATGTCCCCCAAAAACACGTGTTGTAAATCTGAACCTCTATGCCTACGGTTATAAACCCATTTGGGAATGGTTTTCTTTGTCATGCTAATGAGGCAGGATTGGTGTAGGGTGTATCTTGAGTCAATCTATTTTAAGATATAAAAGAGGTGAAACAAGCAAGTCAGTAAGCAGAGATGGGAAGAGAGATGCCAATCCACATGAAGACTGTCCAGGAGCAGAAGCTCAGAAGAGACAAGGACATTCCTCCAGAGCCAACAGAGAGAGAAAGCCTCCCCCTAGAGTTGGCGCTCTGAATTCGAACTGCCAGCCTCCTAAACTGAGAAAATAAATTTGTTAAAGCCAAAAAAAAAAAAAGGAATTGTGAGGAGTCTTTAATGACTCATACGAGAGATAAAGGTGGAAGGAGCCCTGGTGGCGCAGTGGTTAAGAGCTTGGCTGCTAACCAAAAGGTTGGCAGTTCAAATCCACCAGCAGCTCCTTGGAAACCCTATGGGGCAGTTCTACTCTGTCCAATAGGGTCACTATGAGTTGGAATCGACTCAATGGCAATGGGTTCCTTCATATACGAAGAGCTCTTGTAAAGCAACAATAAAAAGACTAACAATAGAAAATAGATATAGTACACAAAGAGGTAATTCAGAACAAATAAAAATGGCCTCTGACTATACAAAAAGTTCATGCTAGTTTATAATCACATCATTATAAATTAAGACCATGCAATGTATTTCTAGCAGACTGATAGAGATTAAAAAAGATTGATAATACTAGTGTTGACAAGGGTGTAAGGAAATATACCCTGGCAGTGCCCCTGTAAACTGGCTATCCTTTTATAAGGCTTCATACCCTCTGACCCACCAATTCCACTTCTAGGCGGATTTTTTTTTTTTCAAACCAAAAAAATGTTTATCAGCACTTGAAAATGTATGTGCATTCACACACTCCTTGAATTAACGAAAAACTGGAAACAATCCAACTAACAAAGGACTACATCAACTTTCAAACCTCCATATGATGGAATGACATGGAGACATAAAGAATGAGGAGCTCTGTGTGTGCTGGCCAGGAACATGGAAATCACAGTGTTGAGTGAAGAAGAGGCAGGTTGCTGAGGAGTACGAACAGAATGATCCCATTTTTGTAAGGAATACAAGGTCTATGTATTAGTATGCACGTGGACAAAACTCCGGAGAAATGCTTATTAACCTGCTAACAGTGGTTACCTGAGAGGAGGAGAGGAATGTTAAACACTTTCACCTTCTGTATTAAATATTTCTGATTTTTTGTTTTTACAACAAGTATACATTTTTGTAATCAGAAAGAAAAAAACCCAAAAAACCAGCATGACAGCAGCACAGGAGAACTGCATGCAGACGGACCAACAGAACAGAACTGAAAAGTCTAGGAAGAGACTCCGGTACCTGTGGGACTCTATTCCACTGCACCACCAGGGCTCCTGTGGGAATCTAGTGTATGCTAAAGGGGGCATTTCAAACCACTGAAGAGGATTAGATTATTCATGACGCGGCATTGGACAACTTTTTGAAAAAGAATAAAGTCAGACCTTGACCCTTCCGCGTACAGCACAAATAAATTCCATATGGAGTAAAGACTTAAGTGTGAAAAATGGAACCCTAAGAAGAAAATATAAATGATGGTTTACAGAGTCTTGGAGTGAAGATGAAGAAGGCTTTCTAGATAGGATATCAAAGTTGAAACTATAAAAGACTAACACATATAATGATCTAAAACTGTAAAACGTCTATATACCCACCAAGCCCCACGAACGAAATCCTATGACTTCTAAGTCCAACGCCAGATTGCCTCCTCTAAGGAGTTTTCTGTCACCCAGCCCCATGTTATGGCTCCAGGTTCTCAGAATTTATCATCTCAAACACGTACCTGACATCTTTTCAAGAGGCCAGGACACAGGAGGTGCTAACAAAATTCTCTTGGAGGTGGGCTGGCTGTGCTGGGGTGGTGGCTATGTGTGTGAAGGTGACCCCAGGCAGCTGGGTGAAGGGGGAGGAGAAGTGGAGACGCTGAACTCCACGGAGGACCTGCTGGCCTCAAGGAGAACGTGCCACGAGCGAGGCCTGAGCTAGAGAGAGCCTCACAGAAGGAGAGCACTCGACCAACAGGAAGCTACTTCCGGCCCCTGGGGCAGAAGCCACAGGCAGAGGCTGGCCACAGAGCCAGGAGGAAAACCAAGCAACGGTGGGGCCCTGGAAGCCTGGGGATGCAGCATGTAGGGCTCAGCAAACAGAGATCACTGGGGAATGCAGAATGGAGTGGAAGCTGGGAGCTCCTCTGATGGGCCCTCCCGACCTCTGTACCTGCCCATTGGATTTCAGTGGGTCTGGCTCCTCTCTAACTGGGAGCCCCTGAGTGTGGGGCACGTCTGCTGCATTGCTCTGCTCTAGCCCCAGAGGCCAGTGCAAGGCTGGGCATGGAAGGCACTGGGGCAGGCGGGGTCCCGCAGCACTCACCTGCAGGGGTGGGCCCCCCAGCTCCCGCTGGGCACTCATGTTCAGCAGCAGATCCAAGGCTGTCTGGGTGGCCATCGCAGTCGATTCCTCAGCTCCTGGAGGGTGGGGGTGGGGATCTGGGCCTTAGAAAGGGCTGGAAAACTGGCACCCAACACCGCCCCTCCCCTCTTCCAGCCCACACCTGCTTTACCTGTGCCCCTACCCAGCCCCCTACCCCTCCTTCAGAGCTCACCCTGCTGGTAGATGATGGTGGCGCCGCCCAGGGTATCAGAACAGAGCAGCGGGGGGGTCTCTGGTGACTGGAAAGGCGTTGCCTCTGGGGGGACCTGTGGGATGGGGACACGGCCAAGCCTGAGAAGGGCGGCTGAGATTTGAAAGCCATTTACTCAGCCCCTCCTGTGCGTCAGGCATGTTGCACCTGCTGGCTTGCTTCATCATCAGCACCACTCTCCGTGATACTTACCAGACCTGTCCTACTGATCGGAGCCTGGGGGCGGCGGTTAAGAGCTCGGCTGCTAACCGAAAGGTCGGCAGCTCAAATTCAACAGCCGCTCCTTAGAAACCCTATGGGGCAGTTGTACTTCATCCTACAGGGTTGCTATGAGTAAAAATGGACTCAACGGCAACACTTTTTTTTTTTTAATGCTACAGATGAGCACACTGAGGCTCAGGGGGTGAAGTGGCCTGCCCAAGACTACCGCTACCAAGGGGCAGAGCTGGGACTTGAATCCAAGACTATCTAGCGCCTGTGTTCTTCCAGCGCACCATGTAGTCCATCTGCTCAGGGCTGCTGCGTGAGCGCACATGTGGCTGAGACCACTGGCTGCATACCCAGAACCCACCCTCCCCTTCTTTCTTGCTAACAGCTCTGATTTTCATCAAGAAGACAATGTACCCAGCTATAAGACTACGTTTCTCAGCCTCCCTTGCAGGTAGGTAAAGTGTAGCTAAGCAGAAACCTCTGATAAAGTTCATGAGGAAGACAGATGGGAGGCATCACTTCTACCCTTCTCCCAACCCTTTCTTCTGCTTCCTGCCTAGAAGGTGGCTAGGATGGCTGGAGTTCCTGCAGCTACACTGGACCATGAAGCAACCATGAAGCCAGAAGTCCTGTGTCTAACATGGCTGAGCCAAAACATACAGGGAGCTTGGTCCCTGATGACTGTGGAGGCACCACACCAGCCCCGGACTGCAGACCTTTGGTCTTCTTTTATTATGAGAAAATAATAAAGTACTATCTTAATTAAGCTACTGGTATTTCCAATCTCTATTACTAGCACCAGAAAGCCACCACTACTCTGAGCTTAGGGATGGCATATCCGTGACCTCAGCTGATCTTTACCACGACCCAGAGAGGCAGGGATCATTACTGCAACAGAAGTGCAAACAAGGATGCTGAGGCTGGGAGAGGTGATGTCATACTGTCCTCCTGGCCCATGACCCCAAGTCCCTTCTATCTGTTGCTGCCTCCTCAGCTGAGCTTACCTCAGGAGGTCCTGAGGGGCTGGGGGATGGCCCAGGGGCTGAGCTGTGCTGCTGCTTCAGCTCCTCAATCTGCTGCAGAGAGAAAAAGGGGCGGCGGCGGGACGGGGGCTCCTCGGGGTGGCGCCGCCCCCACTCCTCGAAGCTGCTCGCATGGCGGCACCGCACGTGCAGGCGCAGGTTCTTCTTGTGCCGCGTGCTGAAGTGGCAGTACTCACAGGCGAAGGGCTTCGCCCCTGGGGGCACACGGAGGGATGCTTGCGCCTGCTGAACCCTGACCCACCCCCTCCAGGAAGCCTTCCATGACCTCAAGGACCCCTCCACTCGACTGACTCCCAGCAAGTCATCCCTAGACACAAGCGAGCCCACGCCGTGTCCACTTTGGCGGCCAAAGACAAGAATGAATCAGGTCCGCCCTCGGCACTCAAAGCCTTCCTGCTGGCGCCTGTTTCCAAGGTCATCTGACCAAACACCCCTTGTGAACCATCTCCCCTGGTAGGAATCTGGCTAAGAAAGCACCAGGCTCCCTTTTTCCAATCTTCCCACAGTATGCCTACCACAGGGATGGGCACCAATGAGGAGAAAGTACCAACATCTTCACTGGGCTGAGTGTACGATGCTGCTTCATGTGCCGAGGACAGGGCCTGTGGCAGACCCGTTTCTGGCTCTGTGCCCAGTAAACAGACAGGGCTCAGGGAACAGACGGAACTGTCATAACGACCACATGGTAGGTGCTTCTGATTTCCCCATCTCACAACCGAGGAAACAAAGCCTCAGAAAGGGCAAGGGGCTGGCCCAGGGTCACCCAGGGAGTAGGTGACTGAGCCAGAATTTGGTCCAGGCTACAGAGTGAGCTCACCCAGGGAGGGTTCCTTTGCTGCCCCATGGCTGGGGCTGCCCAGGAGGAAGAAGACAAGAGCTGAGCCTCCAATCCAGGGAGTTGGGGGCTGGGGCATGGCTGGCCCACCTGTGTGCTTGACGGCCACGTGGGACAGCAGGAAGTCCTCTCGGAAGGTGCGGTAGGGACAGAAGCTGCATTTGAAGGGCTTGTCGCTGACATGGGACAGCTGGTGGTTCAGCAGTGCCTTCTTGTCCTCGCAGACAAACTCACAGAACTCGCACTTGAACCTGCAGGCAGTTGGAGGGAGGGAAGCTCAGCGATTGGGGTGGGGTGGGAGGCTGCTCCCAGTCCCAGGGGGCTCCTGGAGGGTGTACCTGCGGTTGGCGACAGCTTGGATGTGCGTGAGCAGATGCATTTTGAAGGTGTAGCGCTTCTTAAAGGACTTTCCACACTGGGAGGAGTGGGTGGAGGCTCAGACGGCAGGCTCACCAAGGAGGCCCCTTGGGCCCCAGCCCTGCCCTGAGCTCCCACCTACCCACCTTGTCACACATGTGGGGCTTCTCAGTGCTGTGTGTCTTCATGTGCTGAGTGAGCCTCTTCTGCATGGGGTAGACACGGCCACACACGGGGCAGGGGAAAGAGCTCAGCTTTGGGGTCTAGAAGGTCCCAGAAGGGGCCGGATGGATGAGAAAGGGAGAGTGAGACCTCACCTCCTGCCCTGGCAGCCTCTGAACAGCCCCCAGCAGCCCTTCCCAGGCCAGGGCCCCAGACTCACCGGATCTGGCCTCTTCTTCCTGGGGGAGAAAGCCACAGGAGTTAGACCAAACCTCCTCAAGCGCACTTCACACCCCCTCACATTGACCCAGCCTCAGCCGAGCATCCCTACTCTCCACCCAAGTCCCTTTCCAACTGGGTTTCCCTGAGGAAAATGTTAAGAAGCATGCTGTGAATAAGTTCTGCATTCAACTACATTTGGGAAACAGTGCACTCTTTCTCTGAGTCACAAAATACATTTGTACATTAAAGGCTCTGAGAAGTTCTGCAAGAAAGAGATCGGTTGAACCATGTTCAACTTGGTGTCCCCTAACCTTTTTAGGATCCTGTATTCAACCTTTGCCCACCTCTCCCAAGATGTGAGGCTAACTCCTCCTTGAAGCTGCAGAGCTAATCACACTTCAGTGAGCTATCGCTGGGCCCTGAAGAATTTTTGTTTCTCCCCACATTTGTCCTAAGCCTGCTCTCTTAGTGCCGTGAGAAAGAATATGGGCTTGGAGTCGCCAGATCTTTGGATCACTTACTGAGCCCCTTTAGGTACACAATTTCTTTTAATCCCCTTAACAACGAGTGTCCCCATTTTACAGATGGGAAGCGAAAGCTCACAGCAGAGAAGAGTCTGCATTGGGGACCTCAAGGCCCTGCTCTGCCCCTCCTTGAGCCAAGTGATCTGGGCTGAACCGCTTTGCTGATTGCATGTGCAATGTGCTGCGAGTGCGGCTGGCCCAGAGCAGGGGCTCAGTACACGGGAACAACGGTCCCTGGGCCTCCACTTCCCCACCCTGGCCAGCCTCCCCGCTCCTGCCCCGCCCACACCCACTGACCGGTCTCGGCTGTGCACGGCCGCGTGTCGGATGACGTCCTTCCGGTAGACGCTCGTGTAGCTGCACTCGTCACACTTGTAGGGCTTACTGCCCACGTGGTTGAACATGTGCTCCTGGGAAAGAGGTGGAGGGACAGTGGGCCAGGGCTCAGCCTCCCCTGCATCCCCACCCCACCTGTGCCCTCAGCCACTGGCCCTTGGTGCCGCTGTGGGAACAGCGCACAGAACGGGGAGGGCTGGACAGCAGAGCCTCCACAACAAAAGCTAGGAAGACGCTCTCCCGTGGGAGCATCTGCTCTGGGCCAGGTGGCGCCACTCACCATTTGACACAGCAAGGAACTCAGGCTCAGGGTGGTGGGACTTGCTGAGGTCCCACAGTGACCTTGTGGATGGCAAAGCTTGGGGCCAAACCCAGGCAATGTCGCTCCACAGCCCATGCTTTTCTCACCCAACTATGTTCCAGAGGATAACTTCCACGTCACGGGCTCCCTGTCTATAAGGGAGCGAGCGCTGTGTGCAGAAAGCACCAAAACACCAAACCAGGACCAGCCGTCCGGCCAATTCTGACTCACGGCAACCCCATGTGTTCATGGTAGAATTGTGCTCCATAACATTTTCAGTGGCTGATTTTTCAGAAGTAGATTGCCAGGCCTTTCTTTCAAGGTGCCTCTGGGTGGACTCAAACCTCCAATCTTTCAGTTAGTGGTCAAGTGCATTAAACCCATCCCTGAACAACTCGCTCTGCCACTTTGGCCAAGCCGACCGCAGTTTTCTGAGTCAGTAAAATGGGGCTATCAACACCTACAGCCTCGCTGGACTGCTGCGAAGATGAAACGAGAGTGCACATACAGCAGGTACAGGCCTGGGGTTGCTTTGGCCCAAACGGCACCTTTGGGCTATGAGAAAAAGGAGTCCCTTTCTTGAGACACATTACTGCCACCTGCTGGAGAACTGTTCTAACATCCTGAATTAGATGAAACGAGTTTCCTGCCATCTGCCAGGCTGTGGTCATGGACAGGCCAGTCTATGACGTCCACCAAGTACAGTGGCAACGCCTCTGTGTACTGTGTACTGTGCACCCTGCAGAATCACCACTGCAGCCCTCCCCATGTTCAGGCAGATGTTCCTCAGTGTGCCAGCAGGCAGACACGTGCCCTGCAGATCGAGGGGACGGTGACCTGGATGTGCAGTTAGCTCCTCTCCCTCTCAGCACTGCCAGCTGGCCTCTGCCTGCCGCCTCCTCCCTGTCCGGGGGTACCTACCAGCCTCCGTTCCTCCCCCGCCCATGCCTCTCAGCCTCCTGCCACACGCACCTTGAGCGAGGACCAGCGGCGGGAGCGGTAGCTGCACTGCAGGCACTTGAAGAGCTGGGGGTCGCCGGCCTCATGGGAGTTGACATGGAAGCGCAGATCCTCGTGGGACAGGAAGCGGGAGCCACAGATGCGGCACAAGAAGGGCCTCAACAGTGGTTTGGGTGACTTGTAATAGTACCTGCCAGGAGGGTGTGGGGAAGGGGCTGGCTGGACCGGGGGGGCCACAGAGAAGCCACACTGGCCCCCAGGCCCTCCAGCTGCCTTCCGCACCCTCGTCTCTGCTCCACATACTTGCGGTATTTCTTGCCAAGGAAGCGTCGGGAGGGCCGGCCGCGGCGGCGGGGTGGGGCGTCGGGCTCGTCCTGGCTGGAGGGGGCTGCATTCTCTGTGTCCGACTGGCTCACAGCGGGTTCCCTGGGGGTCCTCCCAGGCTTGCCCAGGGTTGCCCGGTGTCCTGGGCCAGAGGAACTGGGAGCCTCGGGGTCCTGTGGCTCCGGGGGGCTCTGTCCACTCTGGGAACTCACCAGAGACTCTCCTTCCACGCCTGCCACGGACACACAGATCACAAATCAGCCACAGACCCATCAGTCACAGACCACTAACAAGCACGCCAGGTCACTCAGCAGGCAGTGGCAGGCCTGGCTAGAGGACAGCACAGAGGGCCCACCTCCTGCAGCTGACACGCTGTTAGCACTGCCTGACTTAAACGGGATGCTGTCCAGAGCAACAGCAGGGGACCTGGGGTCTCCTTGTCAGGAGACCTGGGTTCCAGACATGGCTCCATCACCGATTTGCTGTGTATCTGTCCACTCCCCCTCTCTGAGCCTCACAGTCCCCATTTGTCAAAGGGAGACGGTAATCGCTGCACTACTGACCTCACAGAAACATTCTCAGGTTTGGGAAGCAGTAGCAGTACTTTCAGTTGGTTGCTCCCAGGGAGGGGAACTGGGAGGCTGGAGGGTAGATGCGGAGGGAGGGAGAAGATGTCACTGTAGGTGCTTTCAAACCTATTGACGTTTCAGCTATTTGAATGTGTTATCTATTCAAAAAAATATGCTGCTGCTGTTGAGTAGGTTCCGACTCATGACGACCCCATGTGTTACAGGGTAGAACTGCTCCATAGGATGTTCTCAGCTATAATTTTCAGAGAAGCAGATTGCCAGGCCCTTCTTCTGCGATGCCACTGGGTGAGTCTGAACTACCAACCTTTAGGTTAGTAGTCAAGCACAAACTGTTTAAGCTACACAGAGACCTTCAAAACAATAGTTACATACTTTATTGTTAGCTGCTGTCAAGTAGGCCCCTGACTCACGGCAACCTCATGCACAATGGAATAAAATGCTGCCCAGTCCTGCGCCATCCCCATGATTGGTTGTGGAATAGACTGTTGTGATCCATAGGGTTTGTCACTGGCTGATTTTCAGTAGATCACCAGGCCTTTCTTCCTAGTCTGTCTTCATCCGGAAGCTCTGCTGAAACCTGTTCAGCATCAAACTTATTCAACAACAAGCAAGCCTCCACTGACAGATGGGTGGTGGCTGTGCATGAGGTGGAATGGCCGGGAAGTGAACCCAGGTCTCATGCGTGGAAGGCAAGAATTGTACCACTGCACCACCAATGCCCCCATTTGAATATATTTTTAAATTAAAAATGATGCAGACAGTGTCAGTAACATGCTTTTTCTTGACTGGGGTGCTGGGTCATACAGGTATTTTTGCTGGCGACAATTCCCTGAGCTGTGCACTTAGGATCTGTGCGCTTGTCTGTACACATATCTCAGTAAAAAGCTATTTAAAAAAAAGACTGAAGGACATAATGATCCCCTCCAAATGGTATATACAAAGACAGCTACCTTTTTTAACCACTGATCTTTGTATGTTCACGTGGACTCCACCGTGTACTGTACTTTTATCCCAAAGAGCACTAAAGGACTCCTTTCACTATTTCTTGTAAAGCAGGTCTTTGAGCTATGAGTTCTCTCATTTTTTGTTCATCTGTGAATGTCTGTTTCTCCTTCATTTTTGAAAGATAGTTTTGCTGGATATAGTATTCTTGGTTGACATTCTTCTTTTTTCAGCACTTTTAATGTGCCATCCCATTGTCTCCCGTTAACCGTGGTTTCGGTTGAGTAGTCAGCTGTTAGTCTTATTGACAGTCCTTTTATACATGATAGGTGTATTTTCTTTTGCAGCTTTCAAAATTCTTTATCTGTGGCTTCTGACAGCTTTTCTGTGATGTGTGCAGGTGTGAATCTTGTGTGTAATTCACTGAGTTTCTTGGATTGCAGATTAATTTTTAAATCAAATTCAGGACATTTTTGCCAAATAATATCATAATATAATAATAATATATACATATATATAATAGTAATATTATTTCTGCCATTTTCACTCTCTCTTCACCTCTGGCACATGCATTATGTATATACTGCCGAACCTGATGGTGTCCCACAGGCCTCTGAGGCCTCTGATTTTTCTTGTTTTTATCCTGTTCCTTAGATCAGATAATCTTTATTGGCCTATATTCAAGTTTGCTGATTTTTTGTTCTGTAACCTAAAATCTGCAATTGTGTTCCTCTAGCAAATCTTTCATTTCACTTATACATTTTAACTCCAAAATTTCCATGTAGTTATTTTTATAGGGTCACTATGAGTCGGAATTGACTCGACGGCAACAGGTTTTTTTTTTAATCTCTACTTGGTGAGATATTCATCTCATCATTTCTTTTAATTCTTTAGATATGGTTTCCTTTACGTCTTTCAAAATTTTTACAACATAGTTGTTGTTAGGTGCTATCGAGTCAATTTTGACTCACAGTGACCCCATGTTACAGAAACTTGCCCCATTGGGTTTTCTAGGCTATAATCTTTACAGGAATACATGGCCAGGTCTTTCTCCCGTGGAGCTGTACCTTTTGCTGTCGGGGGTAGAGCATTTAACCCTCAAAACAATACTAAAAGACTGCTATCACCACCATTCATAAAAAAGGGAACAGGAGATTCAAGAGGCAAAGCAGCTAGTGAGTGGTGGAAGCAGCACGCACACCCGTGTCTGGGTGTTTCCTGCCCCTAGAGTGCTCTAGGCCAGGGCTCCTAGGGCATTATCTCTGCTGTTAGCCCTACTCCTATGTTTGCATTTCAGGAATCGTATTTCACACATGCCTTCTTAGTTCAGATATAAAGACCCATGCTTAATTTACCACTGGAAGGCATTTTCACAAAGCTGAGATTTCATTTCTTGAGTTAAGGATTCTCAAGCTTAGGTCTGGAAGGGCTTTCCCCTTCAATGAGGGGACCTGTAGATCACCCTGGTTTGAGACATGCTGCTCCACATGCACTCGGCTCCACAGAAGCAAGTGGAAGATAAGGCCACCTCTGGGCCCTACACACACAGGTCCCTCCCCCAACCAAGTCTCACCATCCGGGAGGTCTGAGGTCTCCAGGCGAGGCAGCTTTCGGGGCCGGCCAGGTCTCCTTCGGGGTCTCGGCGTACTGGAAGCAGGGCGCTGGGGCCGCAGCTGCCGGGCCCGGGGCTCATCCTCGGCCGGATTGTAGTCACTGTCCTCTGCGGAGGCAACAACAGGAGGTGGGTGTCAGTAGCTTTCAGCCCTGACCCCTTGCACGGCTCCCCTGGAAAGAGGCCCACTTCCTCACCCCTGCCTACTGGCACCCTATTCCTCCTTAAAGCCCACCAGTGATGGCTCCTCCCAGAAGCCCTCCTGGATGACTGAGCGTCCCTTCTCCGAGCCCCTGTAGTCCTTTCTCTGCACCGTTTCTGGCACCTACCATTGGCTCACACAGCGTCTTTATAAGATTACAAAAAGATGCCTCTTTCCCAAGACCCCTCACAGCCACTGCTGGAAAACAGTTGTAACAAACATGCAAGTCTATAAACACATTAAGACTGTGCTATCAGCCACAGCAGCCACCAGCCACATGCGGTTACCGAGCACTTGAAATGTGCCTAGTCCAAACTGAGGTGTGCCTTCAGTGCAAAATACACACCGCATTTTACAGATATAGTATGAAAAAAAGAGAATATTTTTTATAATGTACTTTTATGATGATTACATATCAAAATGATACTACTTTAGATACAGCAGGTAAGTAAAACATGATTAAAATTAATTTCACCTCTTTTTAACGTGTTTACCACAAAAGTTACAAGTACACATGTGGCTTGCATTATACTTCTATTGGACAGACGTGAAGGGGATCCCCTTAGAGGTGGGGCTCTTTTTCAGTGCACAGCCTGCACAACGGCACACATAGGGTCCTACTCTCAGAGCCTGGCCTGCCCTATCTTAACACTGAAGCCACCTGTGGCTGCGTCTTTGCCAACTCCCCTTTCCTGGCCCTCCAACTGTAAGTGAGTATTTGGGGATAGGGACGAGGGTGGGGGTGGCAGGCCTGGGAGCTGTGGTTGCCTACCCTCCAGGTCATCAATGGCGCCAGCATCTACGATGTCGTCATCATCCTCCTCCTCAGGCCCCTCCTCCTCCTGGGCCTTGGCTGAGGCACCCCACTTCCGCAGACGTCCCTTCTTACCAGCTGCCGTTACTGCTGCTGGGGAGGGTAAGACAGGCCTGCCATGACTAGCTCCCTGCACCCCGCCCCCAGCCTACCATGCAGTCCTGGGCAGGTGGGCTACTATGGACGGACCTGGGCGGAAGTGCCTCTCCCGCATATGGCGCAGCAGCGTGGCCTTGGTGCTGCTCCGGTACTGGCACATCTTGCACTTGAACTGCTGCACCACCACCACCTCCATCATGGCCTCCAGGCTCTGCAGGTCTGGCTCCTCGGCACCAGGGCCTGGAGGTGGCTGTTCCGTCGGGGAGCTGGGCCCATCCCGTGCCTCCTCTGGCGGCTCCAGGCACGTGGATGTGGATGTGGGGCCGTCGGCCAGGGCCTCGATGGCCGCCAGGCTGTGGGCCAGGGTGGAGCTGGACATCGGCGACGCCACGGGGGCTCCTGCGGGTGGGTGAGGCAAACAGTGCGGAGGGAAGCAGATGGCAGGGTTGGCCACAGTCAGGCCCAGATATCCCAGAACCCAAGTGCCCACCAGAGGCCACCTGTCAGTAGAGAAACTGAGGCCCAGAGCAGTGGATAACCTGCCAAGATCACACAGTGAGTCAGTGGCCATGCCTGGCCTCTCCCCAAGTCCAGCGCCTGGGGTCTTACCATCGTCTGGGCCTTGCAGGATCAGGAAGCGTGTGGTCTCGGCTCCGCCATTCTCAGCACTGGTCACAGTGATGCAGCCTGGGCAGAGATGGGGGAGTCCCAGCTGCAGACCCACACTCCACAGGCCACTCTGGCTGCCCACGTGGCTCGAGTCAGCCCCATCACCCCTCTCAGACTCAGTTGCCTCCATTAGGAGGGCTGTTAGGAAGCCCTGTGCGTGACACGCTAGCCCAGCAGCCTGTCTGAGCTCATGGCCCAATGCCGTTCACTGCTTGCTGGTGACAGTAAGTAATTTTAAGTCCTTTGTGCCTCAGATTTCTCATCTGGAATGTGAGAATTATAAGAGCATCCACCTTTTGGGGTTACTGGAAGGATTAAATCAGCTACTCTGTGTAAAGTGTTTAGAACAGCACCCAGCACAAAGAAAGCTATTCCCGTTTCTGTTATTTACGGACCTTACTATGTGCCCTGTCTCATTAAACCCTCATGCTACTTACCACTATCAGACAGGGGCTTCACTCCCACTAATGCATTCAGGGCTGTACGGTTATTTGCCCAAGGTCACACAGCAGGGGTGAGCAGCTCACTCTGCCAGACTCTGCAGGGAAATCCCGTGGGGGACCCTCGCCCCCTCTGCCTGACTCACTCTGGATGAGGTCGGGCCCGATGGTGGACTCGATGATCTTGTCAATGGCTGAGCCCAGGTCCGAGGAAGACGCTGTGCAGTCAGACACCAGCATGGCGGGGTCTGGGAGTGCGCTGGAGTGCACCAGGGCTGGGGGGTCACCTGTCACCCCCGCCGCTGGACCACGGGACACAGAAGATGAATCTGGGAGATACCCATGAGGCAGGGGGTCCGTGCTCGAACTGCTCTCAGACACCTCCTCCTGGGGTGGGGGAGAAGCAGGATGGAGGGCATTCAGGAGCCAGCGGTGGGCAGACAGCCCTGCTGGACAAGCTCTCTGGTCCAGACACACAGTGAGCAGAGCTGCCCACACTCTCAGCCCCACTTGGGACCAGCAGGAGAGGCCCTCCAAGAACAAGCCCCGGGGTTCCTGGCTTTGTCTGGTTAGGGATCACTCCAGAATAAGAGAAGGTGCTCCCATCCCCCATATTACAGACAAGTGGAGCTCTTTCACTAGGCCTTTGCTTAAGTTGTTTCCTCTGCCTGAAACACTCTTCCTCCCATCACCCCATGGCTAACTCCAACCAGTCTGCACATGACCATTTAGCTGGCGCCTCTTCTAGGAAGCTGACTCGGACCCCCAAGACCAAGTACTGCTCCCTCAGTGCTGCAGTCCCCGCTACTTCCTATCACATCACTGCCCACTCAGCACTGTAATGTCCTCATGCCACTGTACCCTCCACGAGGGCCAGAACCATGTCTGTCTTGTCCCTTGCTGTATCCCCAGGGCCCAGCACAGGCTGGCACATGGCAGGCCCATCTCAGGTGAATTAATGAATCCCAAGTTGCCAAAGTGGGGTCCACTGCTGTGCACTTCTATCAAATGATATAGATATCATCCTCCCTGTTTTATGGAGGGGAGTGCCTGGCTGGTGCAAACAGTTAACACACTCAGCCACTAACTGAATGGTTAGAGGTTCTTGTCCAGCCAGAAGCACCTTGGAAGAAAGGTGTGGCAATCTACCTCAAATCAGCCACTGAAAACCCTACGGAGCACAGTTCTACTCGGACACATGTGGCATTGCCATGAGTCGGAATCAGCTCCATGGTTACTGGCTTTTTCAAGTGGTATCTTGAATATAATCACTATTTTGCAAATACCAATAATGGTAATGGCTCATACTGAATGCTTACTATGTGTTGAGCACTGTTCTGATTGGTTTGCATATATTAACTCACTTAATCCTCACGAAAACTCTATGAGGCAAATATATTTATCATTCCCACTTTACAGATAAAGAAAGTGAGATCTAGAAGTGGGATAGTTTGCCCAAGATCACAGAGCTAGAAAGTGTCAGTCAGGAGGAGATGGTTTAAAAAGTGGTTCCAACATGGGTGAATCTGGGAAAGCATTACGCTGAGTGAAATTAGTCGCAAAAGAACAAATGCTATATGAGACCACGATCGTAAGAACTCAAGAAATGGTTCAAACACAGAAGAAAACATTCTTTGATGCTTACGAGGGTAGGGAAGAAAGGAGAGGGGTATTCACTAACTAGATAGTAGATAAGAATTATCTTAGGTGAAGGGAAGGACAACACACACTACATGGGAAGTCAGCACAACCGGACTAAACCAAAAGCTAAAAAGTTTCCTGACTACAACCATGGTTTCAGGGGACATCTAGGTCAATTGGCATAACAAAGTTGATTAAGAAAATGTTCTGCATCCTAATTTGGTGAGTGGCGTCCGGGGTCTTAAAAGCTAGTGAGCCGCCATCTGAGATACATCAACTGGCCCCAACCCACCTGGAACAAAGGAGAATGAAGAATACCAAAGACACAAGGACAATATTAGCCCAAGAGACAGAAAGGGCCACATAAACCAGAGACTCCATCAGCCTAAGACCAGAAGAATTAGATGGTGCCCGACTACCACCAATGACCACCCTGACAAGGAACACAACAGAGAGTCCCTGTTGGAGCAGGAGAAAAGTGGGGTGCAGAACTCAAATTCTAGTGAAAAGACTGACTTAATGGTCTGACTGAGTCTGGCGGGGCCCCGGAAGACGTGGCCTCCGGACTCTCTGTTAACCCAGAACTGAAACCATTCCCCAAGCCAACTCTTCAAAGGTTAGACTGGACTATGGGACATAAGATGATACTTATGAAAAGAGTGCTTAGCTCAAGTAGATACATGAGACTAAATGGGCAGCTCCTGTCCGGAGGCAAGATGAGAAGGCAAAAAAGTGACAGGAGCTGGTTGAATAGACATGGGAAATCCCGGCTGGAAAGGAGAAGTGTGCTGTCACAGTATAGGGATAGCAGCTAGGATCACATAGCAATGTGTGTATAAATTTTTGTATGAGAAACTGACTTGAGCTGTAAACTTTCACTTAAAGCACAATAAAAAGAAAAAAAAAAAGTGTTTCCAAGAGAATGTCAGTCGGCAGTTCACAAAAAGAGCACCTCAGAGGTAGGTATTCCTGCTCCATTTTACAGACGGGGAGAAGGAGACCCAGAGAGGTCTCCCAGGGAATCAGGGCAAGGCGAGCACTCAAGAGGCCGTCTGTCTCTCAAAGTGTGGGGACAGTGGTTAGTGCAGTGGGTAAGACCACAGCTTAGATATGAATCCTGGGTGTCTACGCTCTGTGCCTCGGTTTCCTTTTATGTAAAACGAGAAAACGAGTGGATGTGCCTTACAAGGTATGAGGTTTAAACGAGACAATTCACATTAAGGGCTTGGTATGGTACCTGGCTCACAGTAAACCAGAAACAACAAACATAAGCCGTAAGCAAGTCTTGTTGGCTGCTTCCCCTTCCTTGGCTGCCTGGGACTGCTGCCTGCGGTACCAGTCTCCACCCATGCCGTCCAGCCCGGCACATACCAGAGAGCTGCCGCCGCGGTCCGAGCTTTGCCCCACGCCGGAGTCGTCGGCCTCTATCGGTCCCGGGGCGGCCGCGGCGTCGCTGCTGTCGGCCGACACGGCTTCCGAGGTGCCCACACTCAGGCCACTTTCGGAGGGCTCCTCGGGCCGGCCAGGCCCAGGGGTCGCGTCGCTACTGCTCTCCACCTCGTTCTCCTCCATCGGCTCTGAGGGTCGTCTGGTACAAGGGCGCAGGGTCTGTGGCCCTCACTCTGCGGCAAGAGGTGGAAGGGACTGGAACAGGTGGGCCACTTCCCGGGCCTGGCGACCACAGCCCACACATCTGCATCCTTGCGCCCATTTTGCAGATGCAAAGACTGAGGCTCGACAGGGCGGGGCTTTCTCGTGTCCACAGAGGGGAACTCTGGGCAAACAGGACCGAGAAGTCTTGCTTCCCGGTCGAGGGCTGTTCACCATTCCCAGGAGAGTGGTCAAAGGCCGGTAATCTTGATCCTTTCCCGATTTCCCCCCTCCCCCGTGGCTCACACAGAGTGGTTCGCTCTACGCGCCCCATTCAAGCTCAGTGGTTCAGCCCTTTGGACCCCTGGATCCCCCCAGTGCTGGGTGGGTGGTACAGCCCGCAGGCCCCCTGGGTCAGTGGTTCGCTCCCCCCTCCCCTGGTTCCCCTGCGGAGGGGGCTGACAGAGACGGTCCCGGGGCCTGGCGACTCGGGGCTGTCCCCGGCGCTGCCTGCGCTCCAGACCTGACGCCATCTTGTGGCGGCGCCAGGTTTCCGCTCAGGCAAGTGCGAGAGCGACTAAAGGGCCTGGGACCCCGGGGCCCTGTTCGGACAGCCCCGCCGGCCCGGTACCTCGCTGCCGGGTGCTCCCGCAGTGCGGCCCCACTCCACAGCAGGGCGCAGTGGGACGACTTGACTCTGGCCGACACTCACCCGACGCTCTCGTAGACGCGTTCCTCTCCGACTCCGGCATCGACAAGGTCGCCATCCTCTTCCCCCCCGCCGCGGAGGGACCCATCATCCTATAGTAGGCCGGAACTACTTCTTCCGCCGTCCTGGGGAAACTGCAGGTTTCCATTATGTCGGAAGGTCGCTCTGAGGTCCCAGAACCGTAATCCGGTCTGTAGAGCGTGTAGGATTTTGCATTTCGCCTAGTTTGGGTGATGGGGGACGCTATGTGTTGGGGACTACTTTTTCTCCCGGCGGAAGATTACAAAGGGGAGTTGTTCTTTGACGTCACTGCCTGGGTCCCTTCCTTGGTCCGCAGGGCTGGGCGCGGCGGCGAAGGTGGCCCCACTGTTCTGGGGGCGTGGTTCCTAGTGGCCTACCCACGCCCCTCCCGGGACAGACGTAGAAAGCGTTCCCGGCGGCGTAGAAAAGCCTGAGGTGGCGGCGAGGCTTAAATTTGGTGGGGGAGAAATAAATGTTATCAGTTATTTTGCCAGGCTCTTTACCGATTATTTAACGCTCCCATCATGCCTAATCGGGTCCTTCCTGGTTAGCCTTGGTATGTCCTGGGAGCCTTGTACAGATGGGAAAACAGGCCTGAAGATGGGAAGTGGCTAGTCCAAGGTCACATCAAGTCAGGGGACGCGGGTCTCCAGGAGGCAGGTCCAGATGCCGGGTTGGAGAAGTGGAGAGGAGCTGATGTGTTGGACCTTAGTGGGGTTTGCATACAAGTTTGTTAAATTATTAACCTGGAGGTCAAAAGGTCCTCCCACAGCTGCCCTCTCTGTGGGTGGTGAAGGTATATTTAAAGGCCTTCGGCCCTTGAGAAGAGGTATTTCCCTCCTGATGTTCGAAATGCCACCTTTGACACCACCTTCTGTTTAAGTGGAAACCCTGGTGGAGTAGTGGTTGACAGCTATGGCTGCTAACTAAAAAGTCGTCAGTTCGAATCCACCAGGCGCTCGTTGGAAACCCTATGGGGCAGTTCTCCTCTAACCTATAGGATCACTATGAGTCGGAATCGACTCCATGGCAACAGGTTTGGTTTTGGGTTTCTGTTTAAGTCTTTTTAGTATTTTGTGGTGGAAGCACACTAAAGAGGGAATCCGGCACCCTGGTTTTGTCCCCAAGTCTGTGTATTGCACAGGCTCTTTTTTTCAATTGAAGAATACAGATTTTGGAGGAAAAAATCTTAAAAAAAAAAAAAAACCTGTAGAGAAAGCCTACTGAAAAAGGACAAAGTGCTTTGAGTTACAATAGTATGCCCCTGAGTATGAGGGGATTTATCTCGTCCTTTTCTAGGAGCAGGTTTTGGTACGGGGAATAGAGCATGAGGCCCTTGGATGGGTCAGGCCCCTGGTCCCCTCTCCCTCCATTAGTAGGACCGGTCCTCCAGGGCAGTCCTAAGAGCCATGTCAGCACTGGCATGATGGCCAATTGGCTTTGCACTCCTTGGGCAGTTTTGCAACACGGTCCTGATTCCTCAGCTCCACAGAGGCACCCCTCGTCTTGCACCCCATGCCCCCAATGCTTGTAGCATGTGTCCCACCCTTGACCAAGTCACCTCCCCAAAGCATGTCAGTACTCAGCAGTAGATCTACAGTACCCCATTGCCATCCTCATCCCAACAAAGACTCAACTGTCTCCTGGCCTTTGCTACCGAATCACAAGATTGTAGAATGTCATGGTACAGACAATGACAACCTCATCATGGAATAGAAGGGGAGCCCAAGTTGGAAGCCACATATCAGAATCAGTGCATTACAAAGACAAGCAAACCCTGGCTTACTGACTGCTAATCCAGGGTTTGTCCCAGCATAGCATGTAGTCTGTAGGTCTGGGCTTAGGTTTGTTCTGCTTCTGGGAGCAGTGAGGGAATTCCAAGTCAGAAGGACATCAAAGAGGACTATCGAGAAAAATGCACAGAGGAGAGTTGCCGATAGGAAACTAGAGGAAATACTTTATTATTATTATTATTTAATTATTTTTCTGGTTGAGAATATACACAGCAAAAACATACACCAATTCAAGTTTCTAATGTACATTTCAGTGACATTGATTACATTCTCTGAGTTGTGCAACCATTCTCATCCTCCTTTTCTGGGTTGTTCTTCCTCCATTAACATAAACTAACTGCCCCTTAAGGTTGCTGTCTAATCTTTTGAATTGCTCTTGTCAATTTGATCCCATATAGATCTTAAGAGCATAATGCTCAAGGCAGACATTCTTTACTAGTTAAGCTAAACTATTGTTTGGTTTTAAGAAGACTTCAGGGGATATTTTTGGTTTAAAGTTTAAAGATTATCTTAGGGCAATAGTTTTGGGGGTTCATCCAGCCTCCATGGCTCCAGAAAATATGGGTTCTGTGAAAATTTGAAATTCTGTTCTACATTTTTCCTCTTTTTATCAAGATTCTTCTATAGAATCTTTAATTAAAATGTTGGTAATGGTACCCAGGCACCGTCCAGTTCTGGTCTCGTGGCAAAGGAGGCAGCTGTTCATGGAGGCAATTAGCCACACATTCCATATCTTCCTATTCCTGACTCTCCTTCTTCCTCTGTTGCTCCAGGCAAGTGGAGACCAATTGTGGTGCCTCCAATGGCTGCTTGCAAGCTTTTAAGACCCCAGGCACTGCACAATGAACTAGGAGTTAGAACTGAAGCACTAAACACGTTATTAGGCCAATTAACTGGGATACCCCATAAAACCATGACCTTAAACCTCCAAACTAAGGAACCAAATCCCATGAGGTGTTTGGTTGTATATAAACAGGCTCAGCAGCTACTTTTTTCTTTTTTTTGTCATGGTTGTAAATATCTATCATACAACTTTTGTCAGTTCAGCTTTTTACAGGTAGGTGTACAACTTACTGACAGCAGTTACATTGATTGGCTGTGCAACCCTAAGGAGAGGAGGTACTTTAAATGAGCACCTACCAAGTGCCAGACACTGCATGGCTGCTTTGCTGCATCATGTTATCTTCTCAAGGAAGTAGGGGTTGTTATCATCCTCTATTGCAGAGAGAAAGAAGCTGAGGCTCAGAGAGGGAGAGTGATTTGTCCAAGGTCACACAGCCAAGACAGGGTGGAGCTGGGATATGAACCTGTCTGTCTGACTATAAAGCCCCAGGCAATTTAGGTACCATGTGAAATATGCTTAGTAACCATAACACTTATAATACTGTATGCCAGGCAATGTTCTAAGTGCTTTACCTACATTAATTTATTTAATCCTCATAACCACCCTAAGAGGTAGATGCCATTATTATCTCCACTTTATATATGAGGAAACTGAAGCACAGGACAGTAAAAGAATCTGCTCTACTAAGGGACGGAGCTGGGATTGAAACCAGGCAATCTGGCTCCAGACCCCGCACTTTTACATCGCTCTGCCATTCTTGTTCTTAGATGGTGCTTGAACTATCTTTTCCTGAGTCAGGCTGGATAGTTACTATTTTCTCATTTTGTTGTTGGGTGCCATCAAGTCAATTCTAACAGCAATTCTGACTAATAGCAAACCCACGTGACAGAGTAGAACTGCCCCATAGGGTTTTCTTGGCTGTAATCTTGACAGGTACAGATTGCCAGGTCTTTCTCCTGCAGAGCTGATGGGTGGGTTTGAACTGCCAGCCTTTAGTTAGCAGCTGAGAGCTTAACCACTGAGGAATCAGGACCCCTTTTTTCCATTTTACAGATGAGGAAACAAGCTCAGAGAGAGGAAGTGACTTGCTTAAGATCACACAGCAGGTACCTGAGTTTCCTGGTCTAATGGGAAGGGCTGCAGTTCCAGGCCAGTTCTCCTGTGGTAGATAGTCATGGTAGCTCATGTTTATCGAGCACTTAGCAAGTACCAGGTGCTGCATTAGGTGCTTCCTATGCATTTTAAAACTGTAATCATCACAACAACTGGTGATGGTAGGTACTCTCAGTATTCCCATTTTACAGATGAGGAAACTGAGGATCAAGAGCAGTGATGGGACTTGCCAGAGGTCATGCACTTGATGGTTGGCAGAGTTGGGATTCAAACCCTGGTTTCCGGACTCCCAGTCCAGGTCTCCTTCCATTGTAGCAGACACCCCAGGAGGGCAGCAGAGCTGAGAGTAGGCATGCAGCCAGTGGGTGCTCTGGGGCACCCTACCTTCTCTCTCCATGGCACTGCCATCTATGGGTTTAGTGAAACCTTTTTTTTTTTTTTTAACTCTATTTATAGCTTAAAACTGTACTACCACTTGAGATAATGAGTCCTTTAAGTTGATTCCCTATGGTGTAAAGTAAGGCTTCCTTTTATTTGTCCTAAATCTTCCTCTTCCAGGATTGGAAAGGGATGGGGTAGTGGGGAGAGGCACTAGGACCAGAACTCTGGGATTCAGAAAACAGGCTGAAGTCCAGAGAGTGGTTGCTTGTTTGTATATGGTGGCCATTCCTGTCCCCCAGGTAGCAGGTGACATTTATGCAAACATCTCATCTGACCATTACAAAGACATGAGGGGTGGGCAAGGCCTGGATTTTCATCTCTTTTAATCTATTTTGTTTCCTATGGTACCCCTAACACCTAGCACAGTTTTGGGGTCACAAAGTAGACACCGGATACATAGTTGTGGTATGAATGGCCCTTAT